AAACTTTTGTCGGTCATATCTTGCACACTGTGAGGTTCTTACCAATTTCCACTTGATGATTTTCCGCAGACGTCAGTTGTATCTGCTGCTGCCCTCTTCCACCCAGTGAATTCATATGCCAGGTACCAGGATTTGCAATCTTTTAATCTGTTGGCCAGCCACTGCAGTTCGTGCAAGAGGAGGGAAAATGCTGCAGTATTTGCTGCATGAAGGAATCTCACTCATAAAGATAGGCAAGAAAATGTACTTCGTAATTGTAGCATAGTGCCTTAAGAATTTCCTAGTCCTCTGATCTTAAAAAAAGGCTGTCCTACCATCAAAATAGAGGAAACACGAGAGGATTGCCCAGTGAAGTGTTGACTCTGTGGTGATTAAAATAAACGTGAAATCAACCAACATCTCTTTTGGGATGCAGTTATTCAGAGATAGCTAGGAAAGTGGGTTGGTGGGGGAAGGAGATTTAGCAAAACTTAAATAAACTAATGATTAAAAACTTGAGGTGGCTTTTGAAATGTTGTAGAAGGAGTAATTCTTAAAGCCGCTTAAAAAATGTGAAGGCAAAATGACTTGCTGGACAACAGTGTAAATGCTGCTTATACTCTCACAACTCCATTAAAGTTAAATAACTGAAAGCAAAAACTGATTTACTTTCTATTCAAATACACACTGAAAAGGTGCCCTCTGCCATTGCTCTTCACTGGAAGCATAAAGCAAAATAAATGTCACAATTGAAATTCTGCTTCCATGCTTCCTCAGTAAAATAAAAGGGAAAAGAGAGTCCCAATTACTTAGTCATCTATCCATGACCAATACAACTCTCAGGAATCTTAAGAAAATCCTGTAGCCTCATAATTGGATTAGTATGCGCTCCAATTAGCATGCCAAAAACTTTAACAGTGTAAGTCTGATCACCATACAGAGAAAGGAAAGGATAATGAATGTACAGGGGTGAGAGAAAGCAAACAAGTAGTGGATCCATCATTCCTGTAGCCTAGGAAGACCCTTCTTTGCCAGCAGTTTTGTTCTTGAAATGCTGCAGAAGGATTTGTTTTGTTCTTTTTTTTTTGGGGGGGGGGGGGGGAATAGGGGTTGTTCCCCTGGGCTTAACTTTTTTTTTTTTTTTTTTAAACACAGCAAGTTTGAATTTCTGCTCTAGAACGAGTACTTGAACACTGGTAATATGCTCAAGTTTGAAATGCAGCAACACCAGGAGTAGTTTTGAATGGTATTTTGTTCTGTTGATACTTAATTTTCAGAAAGGAGAATAAAAGTACAGTGTTCTTGTGCATAACAGCTAGAGGCTAAACACCAGACCCAACATAGCCACTTGATGCACTACCTAATTATTTGTCTAGACTGCACATCCTCAGCACTCTTGGAACTGGTACATGGAGTCACAACAGTTCCAGTTGGCTAGTAGAAGCCCCATAAAGTGAGTCAAAGGTGTGTCCTCAGCCACCTTCGCCAAGCCAAGGTCTGCGTTCACCTCAGCTCGGCTCTCGGACGTTGACAGCCCCAGTGCAGACAGGCTCTCCAAGGCCTGTTTGCTGTTTTATCAGGTTAATACCTGTCTGGGGTGTAAGAGCTGGCAGTATCAAATTCTGTATCGTAGTAGTCCAAATTAGCTGACTTGAGTTACTGACGCATGCTTTAGGATTTGGGTGTATTTGGCAGTCTGTTTTGCTGTTAACTGTTTTAAAAGAAAAATAGGTAATATGAAGGCATACTATTTTAAATATTATTGTCATAGATTGGGTCACAATAATAAATGTGACCTAATGACATTTTAAACAAAAATTGACAAGATCCATTTTAAACATACTGTTTTTCTTAATGAGATCTGTCAGTCCAAAAAACATGCTGTGCTGGACCAACCTTAGATGAATAGCATTTATACTCCTAGCCCTTGTAGATTATGGAACATTATGGATTGTCCATTTGACAGTTTCAGTTGCTTTCTTTGAAATTTCTCTTTCCTCCCATTCTAAGTCTGCTCCACTGAAATATACATTAAGGGAGTTTAGAAATTCAAAGTCAAGAGTTTTCAGTATAACCTTGTAGAGTGGTTGGATATAGGCATATAGCATTTGGAGTATGGTTGTTTTCGGGTTCCCTCTCCCACCTTGGTACGTGATTTCTCTGCTGTTTGATCTTGTTTGAGCAGAGAGATCCAGGCAGAGGGATGGGGACTGGGGATATTATGACTTTCTTCTACCTTCTTATGCAACTTTACTATCATACATTACTCTAGTTTTAGATTGTAGATTCCATGTATGTTCTTGTATTTCACTTCAGTAGCAGTAATGGAATAATATTATTGTTTCTGTTCTCCACGAAAGTTAACTAATTTAGCATTTGTCTAAATCCTTCAAATTTCTTTAAAAATTTAGACTCCCTAATATATGATGCAATGGTAGTAATAGGAACTATGCAGCTTTTTAGGACTGATGATTCTGTTTTACATTGATATCGGTAATGCGGTATTCCACTATCCTATGCTTTGATTGTCTTGGTGGTGAAAAATATGGAGGAGCCTGGTGGTTAATGTCTGCTGCAAACTCAGGAGATTATTTTGCATTTTGGGAGAGGAAACAAACTGACGACTCCATTCCTGGCAAGAAAAATGCTGATTTGGCATGTGATAGGGGCTTTTTCTAGTTCCCTAGGTAGGAAGCATTGCTAAGACCCTTTGTGTTTTCAGTGCTTAATTGATATAGTTCTTCTAAAGTGTCAGTAGTTTTTGTCTGCACAGTTGGAATCAACAAGCATGTGTTGATCATGCTTGATCATGTTGATCAACAAGCAAGGGAAGTCTTTGGGGAGGAGGTGGAAAAGTTCTGGGCAGAGCAGTTGTTATCTATGGCAAGGACATATACTGCAGGACATCATCTGCTTTAAGGAAATGGGCTCCCCTATGTTGATAGGGATAGAAAGAGTTTTTTGAAATCACATATTTAACAACTGAAATATTTTCCACCTTAGATTATTGTTCCTGCATATTATGTGTTAATCCTGTTTAAGTACTATTTATGTACTTACGTATTTGCATGCTATTATCAACTAGTAGGTCAAGAACATCTTTTTTTTTCTTGTCAGGGCAAGCAGATGGTAACACCAAGTAGGTGTTTGTATTTTTGCTCCTTGCAGAAGGTATTATCACCTTCCTGTGCTAAAGCCCAAAAGCTGCAGTGCTTCAGACACTCTTTAAAAAGAGGCAAAAAGTAATGCAGCAGGTATAACAGAGAAGGGTAATAAAAAAAAAAAATCAAAAACACTTTTGCTTCCAAATGTATATGCAAATCCTGTAGTTGCACTGTCTTGGAACAACGGAGTATGGGTATGAAATACTGATATAATTGTTATTTACCTTCCCACACAAACAAAAAAAACAAAAAACCCTGCTACTATGCATCTCCTAGTTTCAGGGATAGGAGAGGGGAGTGATCTACTTACTGTGGAGGAGGCACGTGGTATTAGGCAAGGTGAATACCACATGCCCCTGCCTGTCTTCTGACTGCTTGTAGAAGCAGTGTTCTGAATCTCCCTACTAAATAAAGTCAAAAGAGAACTAGCTAAAATCCTGATCGTCATCCTAGATTTTGGAAAATATATGGGGAACTTAAATGCTGCAGGTGAGGAAATGTGGGGACTTGTACAGGGTTATTGAAGGTGACATGAAAGTGAAGGACTCCTAAGAAATTGCTATGGAAGGAAGCCTAAGAAACAGAGAAAGGAAGGAAAGAAAAATCTAAATACACTCTAATCTTTCATAAAAGGGATTGTTTTATTTTTAGATCAGTCCTTTTATACATGCCATAAACAATACTTCTGGAAATCTGTTCAGCTTTGTGCTACAGAACGCGAAAAAGGTATCCTCTGCTGCTTCCTTAAGTTAGAAGGTTAGCAGCCCTAATAACAATTGTGCTATACTGAATAAGTAACTTCTAGCACTCAGTGGAACTAATGACCTCAATCAGAAGAAGATTGAGGGAGGTAACATGGATATATGACATGCAGCTAGAAATCTCCCTGGCCTATGTGCTTCAAAGTAGAACGCTCATTCTAAAACATATGGAGGCAAATGGTTTCCTTTCTGTAAGAATGTTTTTACCTGTTTGAGCTGTATCATTCTGTTATGTACAATGTATCATTGAAAAATGGGATGCTTTATGTGAATCTCGGGAGATAATGCTTGTTAACCCCTTACAAAAAGGAAAATAGAAAACTTTGTTCAAAGACTTCTGTTTCAAATATCCTGTCTGAGTCAGGATCTGAGCGTTGTATTCTTAATTTCTTCCTTATGTTACCCCCTTCATGGAGTGCCTACAGTTTTTTAACCTAATGCTAAGGAAAACTGAATATCTGCAAGTCTTTCTTTGATAGAGTTTGCTTTAAAGGCAACACGTCTGAATGCTTCTAGACTCTTTGTTAAATGCCTAGCAGTTGAGGTTAACTTAAAAAAACTTGGGCCATGAAAGACAGGAAGCTGTAAGGCAACAGTGTTTCTTCAAAAATCAGTAGTTTCAGGTAATATACACTTGCTATGTAGGAGGCTGCTACTACAGTCAGAACAGCTATATGTCAATAGTTTTCCAATGCTCCTTCCTAAAACCAAAAAAAAAAAAGTATCTTGAACTTTATAGTTAGTTCAGAAAATTGCTTTGATAACTACACTGATATTTAAAGAACAAGGTTCAACACTCTCTTCCTATCTGTACTTAAAATTGCATGGCTGAGTTTGGAGAGTTCACCTACACCCTAATGCTCTGTCCCTGCGTGCCTGTCTTGAAAGGTGAATTAGATACGTTTCCTGTGAATAGTAGTGTTGAAAAAACTGTTGACAAAAGAAAACTTGCATAGGCGAGTTCCTAAGTAAGCAATACAATATTTAGGCAACTGATGGTCTTTGGCTATTTATCAGTCAGATTGGCCACTGTGGTCACATTTTGTCTTTTGATCCATTCTGTCTGTTCCTCATCTTTTGTTAGTGGGGTGGCGGAATGGTGAATATTATATTTAGACTGTCTGCTCTCCGTGACTGGAATCCTTCTCTTACAGTGTGCTTAGATGGTACACACACACACAAACACACAGGTCCTACTTCATGACTAGCTCTCCTGATTATTAAGGCAATATAGGCAAATTATTTAGCAGTAGGTAATATTTCCTTGTTAACGGGCAGCGTTCCATATCTTCTTTTTGTTTTTCTAACGTTACTAAGACAGAAGGAGTCAAAAGTAAACTTGCTCCACTTGTATTGATTGTATTGTAACCCAAAATGTCAACAGAGGTTATTCCTTTTGAGTGAGTATATGCCCGATTTGAGGAATTTTTGGTGATAACAGGATTTGTTAAGGAGATGACCCTTTCAGATTGCTCTGGGTACTATCTTGAAGCATTGGCTGGATGGTACATATACCCTTTTGAAATTAACCCTAGGAGGAGGTTTCATACCTCTGCCAAAACGGCTTTGCAGCCCAGTTGAGCTTTGGCTGGGATCAGAGCCTCAGTTGTAACCTACATCTGTAATTGTTGTATTATTTCTGAATTTAAAAAACCCTTATTGCTTAATATATCTTTCTGCTTCACTAGTCGGTAGTTCGCATTTCTATCCACAAAATCCTATATAATATTAGTGACTAACTTCATGATCTGATCTAAAAGCTAGGGAGCTGGCTGACTCATATTAATGCCAATGTTGTAAGCTAAAGACCTGCTATTTGTTTCCAGTAATGTAACTGCTGTGAGTGTGTGCTAGTTAAGGCTAGTATTCATTAGCTTTAAAATTTTTAAAGTTGGAAATGGAAAGTGGGCCTTCAAACCATGAAATTGACTGTACCCAAGTCAGTAATATAAATACTTGGAAGTATTGTTTATGCTTATCTGTGACAACTTTCTGGGGCTAGTAGATGTGCAAATGCCTAGAAAGCTACAGCTCCATCAAAATGCCATTAAAGTCTTGGAAAAGATTTTCATACTAATTGAGATTAGTGGAAATCTCATGTAAGACAGTGAAGCAGCCAAAGTTAACTACACACATGCTAACTATCTGTTACATTGCATTAGTAATATTTGAAATCAATTTGATTAGTTTAAGCTAAAAAAATAAAAAGCTATATTTTATGTTTTACAACTCTTGGTTTTCTTGGTGAGTGTGGAGATTATCAGAAGGGTGTCTTTGTTCAGGAGATCAAAATATTCGCATTACTCCCAAGCAGATTTAAAGTCAGGTCATATATTGAAGCTGTGGGTAAATATAACGTAGAACACTAAATTCTCAGTTTTTCTACCTACAAAATGTAACATAAAGGAGAGGTAGCATCCTTACAAGTGACTCTGACACATCTTCCAAACAGAAACATACAAATATATTTTTCACTTCGGGAAGTGGCTAACATAGCAACTTTAACAACAGCACAGTGCTCTGACATTACTGCCTGCTCATCAAGGGGTGGTGTTTTCTTAGGCTTGCTTTTTGAATACACCATTCTCTAGGAATGTTTCCTGTACTGAACTTGGCAGTTATGATTTGACTTACCCATGCTATTTTTTTTCTTCCTGAAATATTTTTTTCTCTTGGATAATCTATCAGCTCTACCTGTTAACCCAAACAGATCGATGGTTAACTTGCTCTTAGAAACCATTCTTTATGCAGAAAGCAACAAATGGTTTCCTAACTATGTTCTGTATGCAGCAGTTTTCTGGCTACTTTGCAAGGTTCTCAGTAGAATTTAGAAACTGTGGGTAAAGTGCTTTTTGTAGTGAGATCGTTAGAAGTTATGGTACTGACCTCAACAGAGCAAAAATTTTATCCCCTTTCTTTTAATTTACACACCAGGCATTCACTCAGTGCATGTTTTTTGTCTCTTACTTATGGCAAGATTAGAGAGAGGGGTAATATGTGCCTACCTCGAAGGTGTAGTAGAGAAATCTATTTCCCATGTAAAACCTTACCAAGTTTAGTTTATATGATAGGTATAAGAAAGCAGGCATGGAATTTAAAACAGTTGCTAGATAATATGTAATATGATTCTCAAGTAATTAGTCTATTTCTCTCTCTGTCCATCTGCCATTTATATGAAATTTTGCAGTCACAGTTCATAGATAGTTTTCTTATTTTGACGGAAAAAACAGAAGTGCTTTTAATTAAAATAACAAGTTAAAAGAATGATTTTTAAACAACCTGTTTTCAACTGCATTTTTAGCAAGCCTTCATATCAAGCACCAGCTACCCTAGGTTTTCAAAAAGAAAAAAGACCCCTATTTAAGGGGAAAGAAATACTAATAAATTGGCAATAAACGGGATTTGCAACCTGTTCAAATTGTCAAGAAATTCAATTGTATTCCTACTTAAGTGAGGGAGCCAGTAGGAACTAGAGAATTTTACACTGCTGTTATAAATAAAGATCGTTTTGGATTAACATTGACTGAAAATCTTAGGACCATTTCTGCTGTTCTGAGGAGTGTTGCAATACAGCCCTGGCAGATAGTAGTTCGTGTTCCATGCTAGTAGGAAGAGGATGGTCTGTTATGATACATGTCTGTAAAGGACAAAGTTAGAATACCATTCTGAGGCTCTTCTATGGTAAATCCTCTGGCAAAGAGGTCTCTCATTCTCCACCTGTATTTCTTTATGTGAAGCAATTAATTTATTTAAAGTTGGAGCACCTGTTTCTGAGTAACCTTCACTTTTTTTTTCCAATACTTTATTCCAACTTTGTTAATTTAAGCTTCAGCTGTGAGGTGTAAACCTGAATTGTCTTGTGTGTGTTTGTACTTTTAGCCTTGAATACATGCTCCTTGTCAAGTTAATGCACTGTGCGGTTTTGAATGGGGGTGTTGCAGGCAAAGGCTGTTCCTCCTTTCCTGTTGTAATGATGTGTTTCCTTGTTTGTTGGGGTTTAAGGATCTTAATCTTTCTAAAAGTTTTTTTTTTTTTCCTTTTTTGAGTGGTCTAAGTGGTGAATCCTTGTTTAGTTTGAAAAGGACTAATGTGCTCAATGATGGTGAATTTTAAGGTATCTCGCAGTGCTGATAGCTAGAATTTATTTAACTCTTTTCCACACTTTTTGGCAGGCTGTACTTCAGAAGTAATTCTGAAGTATTAGGTGGCTTTATGTATGGAAGCTTATAAACAGTCTTTGATGTGCTAGGGGCACTCTATGTTAAAAGGTTTCCTCATGCGTAGGGCATTGACTGGTGTATTATACACAAAATTATTAGGGGCAGGACCAATAATCATTTTTTTCTTGGATATTTACGATAGGAGAATACTTTTTATGGGGTCTGTTGTGAGTTGAAGTAATTTTTCGCTTGCAATGTGACTCAGCAGTCAGTAGAGAAGTTTGGATCCACGAGAGATGGGAAATGTCTTCATTCCCCTTTACTACCCCTTTAATCCATAACAAGATTTTACTGTATTTTATTTCTTTAACCTTAACTTCTTGAAGTCTTTTGAATTATTTTGAAATCATAATATAAGAGAGTATTGTTTGGTTAGAAAGTTCTGATAATTTAGTCCTTCATTTAAAAAGGTCTGCGGTTGAAATAATAAGAATCACTGCTTCTGACAAGAAATTTGTCATTTTTTAAATTGACAAAAAGTAGTAGCAAAGCCTCTTAAATTATGGAAATGTCTTCTTCTTTTCAGGTGAAAGCTATGTATGTGCATCCAATGAACCATATCGCAAAGTTGATTATACCAAGAATGTCAATCCAAACTGGTGTGTGAACATAAGGACTGGGTCCACTCGATCCTTGACATCTTTGACAGCCACAAAGAGTGAAGTGAAGGAGAGTAAAGATTTCATTAAGCCTAAATTAGTGACCGTTATTAGGAGTGGAGTGAAACCCCGGAAAGCTGTGAGAATTCTGCTGAATAAGAAGACTGCTCATTCCTTTGAGCAGGTCTTGACTGACATCACAGAAGCCATTAAGTTAGATTCCGGCATAGTCAAGAGACTTTGTACACTGGATGGAAAGCAGGTAGGAGAATAATTTGCTGTCAATAGCTAATAATTATGAGTTAATCCAGTTAAACTTCGTTTTCGTAACTTGACTGCTTGTTACTACATATGCTTTAATCTACTTTTGAATAAGGACAATCAAATAGAGAAACTACAAAATTTTTCATTTTATATTTAAATATGAATACCTACAAAAATTATAAAAAGTTGTATGTAATGCAAAATAAGCTGACCACTTTACATTCTGAGAAAAGTTTTTAAAGAATCAAATATCAACTGTACTGTATTGCTAAGCAAGATTGCTTAGCAATCTGGACACGTTGACTGTGTCCAGTAATACAGTTCAGTTAAAACATCTGAAAGTCAACAGTTGTTCAAAAACATACTTAAGTGTTCTCAGAAGCACAGTCATGTTTTCAGACAGCAACGTGATGTTGAATGATGTCTGAAATAATAATATTGCTGCCCGCTTCCATTTCACTTCCTTAAATTGCTATTTAAGTAGCAGTATTATTGAATTATCATCCTGGAGGTAGTAATTGACATGGTCAAAGGTCAAGAATTTCATTTGAAGTGAATATCTTAGGTGTTTGGTCTATATCTTTGCAACATGCTTTTAGTTGTAACACTGCAAAAATGTGTTACCAGGATTAATGATGCAGTAGATCTTTGATTCTGAAAATAACCCAAAAATACAGTGGAGTGACCCACAGAATTTTATGCTGCAGCAGGTCAAGTGTCAGTAATAGATCTGCTGTGATCACAGGTTTATGACTCAGCCCTTCATAGAACAGGACTTTGTATTGTCTTTGATGGTTTTATTTGACAATGATCTGGAACTTTGACAGCATTGTGGCTCTAGCAATACAGAGCAAGGTAGGCTGCAAAGTAGACCACACTTGATGTCAGACGTATGGACTAGGGTAATGTTGACTACATGTTAGGGTCCATGCTCTTTCAAAAGGTATTTTTACACACCTGCGTATCTGTATCTTCCCATGCACTATTTGTACAAGTTTCAATTATGTTCATGCAGATATGGGAATTTTTATTGTCAAGTCCCTTATAATGGTTGTGATCATCACTGAAAAAGCACCTTTTTGTGTCGTGTCGAGAGTTACTAGCAAATGTATCACAGAACAAATGCACTTTTTCAGAGGGTCTCTTGGTATGTGGTATATCTCCATATTAGGTTTTCTGTGCTGTGGGTACACTGTAATAACTAAATACTTGGAAAGAACTACTCCTGTTCTCTGGTATTAACTATAGTTACGCAAATGCATCACTGAGGCTCTTGATTTGCAATAATTGGTGACATTGTAATATGCTTTCTGGTTCTTCTAATAGTTTTGATTTTTAATTAAATTTGTTAATGAGATTTGTTAAGAGAGCATCATTTCTAGGAATGTACTTTTCTTTTGTAAAAGTCCTGAAATGTGATTTAGTCATACTGCTTTATAATGAATTAAATTAAGCATGAGGATACCCATGAAGTCTTCTGATACTGTCCCAGATAAGGGGAATTTAATCTCCTCAAGCAAGTAGATTGAAATAGATTTGAGAGGAATCAGGAAAGGATACTGCTACAAATAGGAGGCTCAGTTCAGATTCCCCTCTGCTATCAAATCGCTAATACAGTAGAAACTCACTGATCTGCATTGATGTGGAACATGCAGTGGCGCATTGGGGATCAATAAAATTAATTAATTCTCAGTTGTACATTAAATCTCACATACGTTGCTTGCATATTAATGCCACCCATGGTGGATGATGGCTGTCTTAAGTCCACGGAGAGGATGACCGATCATTGCGAATGCTCTTAAATAAGTGCAAGACTTGCAGTTGCTGCAGCAGCTCCTCCTGCACTTGCCTGGTAACGGGGTTGATCCAACTTGGATTGCAGGTGTAAAGGTGGGTGTTCTCAAGCACAACAGGGAAATTGCTGGAAAGCTTTCATCGCTAACATCCTGCAGAGAGCTGCCCTTTACTACTTCATCCACGTGTAAATTGTTTCAGCAGTGGCAGCGCCTAAGTATGGAGGCATTCCTTTCCTTTGGAAGAAAGGTCTCCAGCCGTTTACTTTTCCAAAAAGATTTTGGGAAGGAGCCTTTGCCTGCACTGCTGTAATGTTGTCTTGATTTAAGTGGTTCTGGAGAGGTAGCTACCCAGAGAGAAGAGCTCTGACTCTAGAAATCCTGATGATAAAAGCTCCTTCTGCATATCTAGGAGGAAAGAGGCTTCTGTTTTTTCCAAAAGTAAAGGGCTGACCTTAGCTTGAGGCTATGGGGACTTTTTTTTGTTTATTTGTTCTTTGCTGGTATATGTAGAGGTTGGTGCCTGAGGGCATTGTGGGGTTTGGTAAATGAAGAGTTGCTTTGCTGCCAATTACCAATTGGTGGAAATTTCTGAGCCAGCTTTCCCTAATGTGGTAATTGCTTATTCTTCTAAATCTGCTAGTGAGGCAGATCTTTTATGTTAGTCCTATTGCTGGCACAGCTTGAAAGGCAAGCATTTGGGGGGGGAAAAAAAGGCATTTTGTAAGTGGCTGTGTTCTTATAAATGTAGCTCTTGTTTCTCAGGGTTTTTTCCCTCTCCCTCATATTTTATCTCTGAGGAAATAAATATTTTTGCAATTTTTCAGAGGGAAGAAGTTGTGTTTTCTTTAACATAGAATTGGTGCTGAAATTCAAGTGTTTAAAACATGCATATATAAAATATTGTGTTCTTTTATTAGGGAGTCTGTGGTTCTGTTGCTAACTTATGGGATGATTTTGTTGTTTTCTGTTGAGGTATTCAATGGTAAGTGGTAGGGAATGATCATGAAACTAGTCATCTCTGAAGAAATCTTCTTTTTAATTTTGAGCAGTACAATGAAGAGGATGTCCTCAGAACAGTTTTCATTAATCTTGACTATAGCAACATCTTAATAATAGTAACAGAGAGTAACATCCATATCAGTTATTTTCCTTGAATATTGTGTATAAAGAAACAGAATTATCTAGCTTTAGATTGTAAGATTTTTATAACGTGCACAAGGCTTCCTTTTATCTTCAGTTTTGATATGGATGGTGCTACCTGAATATTGGGATGTGTAGCCTCAAGTAGTGTTTTTTTTTTTTAACATTTTATTTTACATTGATACTATCCAGACTTTTTTTGTTTTTAAGCAGATGAACAAACAGCTTTTTTTCCTCCCCAAGACTTCTGTGGTGGTTTCTGCACTAGGAAAAATATCCCTATAAAAGTAACTAGGCTTTAATTTTGCAATACAGGCTTCTGCCATTCCAGGCTCTGTGCTCCTGACATTGAGGTTTGCCTAATATATTTGCCTGACTAAAGTGGTTTTCCTTACTTGGCTGCATTTTCCCCTCTCTTTGCTGGAATCTGTCACTTTCCTACTGTGAAGCAAGGTCGGTCAAACTGGAGCTTCTCCAGTTGGGAAGTTAACCTTTTCTTTTCTCCAAAGAGAATGAAGGGTTTCTCTGCCTTTCTAAACGAACTTCAAGTAACAATTACTGTAAACTGTAGGAAGGTAACTTATTGGAAAATCACCTCCACTATTTGCTCAAAAGAGTGAAATGTATGGTTGAGGAAAATATATATATTTCCTGGGAGAAACTCACAAAAAACCCTACAGACCTCTGGAGTATGTGGTATTTGTCAGAAAACAAAATCTTCACTTCAGGAAGATAGTAGCTTTTCAGACTACATCATGTTGCGATTTTATGGATGGAAATCCGTAACAGGATTGAAGAGGCGGATAGCACTCTTTCTGTGCTCAGTTCCACAGTAGTGAGAACATGCCACAAATAAATCTCATCTCAAAGGTCTTTTATGATGGGCCATAGTATGTTGGTGGCTATCTCTAAACTTAAAACAAAAGCTCCTTTACTTTCTGTTAGCAAAGTTTTTTCATGGGATACTCATTTTCATTAAAAGTTAAATGAGTAACTGAGGAAAACAAATATTCCATGTGGAGGTATTCATCAGACTTATCATACTTGATCAGTAATTTTAAAAATTTTATTTTCCAATGACAGTTTTGAACTGGAAATAAAGGAGACCAACTGCAACTGTTACAATACCCATCATAGCTAGCAGCTGAAGCTAGGGATGAGCAGGAGAGATCTTGTTTATTTGTATGATGGATACTCTCCTATTTCTTGTTTCACTTCTTCTGGTTATAGCTTTCTATCATTCAGAACTGAAAATCTCCATTAATATGGCATTTCTACTATAATCTTTATCTCAGTAGAGATGACTTTGGTACTGAAACAAAAATTTTTAGTATGTATGAATTTTATTTTTTCCAATTTTATATCTGAAGTAGTACTTGGGATGAAATCCTTTAAATTCTGTTGCAGTCAACTAAATAATTTTAAATTTGCCTTTAGTTCAGTTTTCTTTTCCACCTAATGTGTAAAAACAACTTTTTTTTTTTAAACTGTCTTATCAGCAGTACACTTTCTTTTTTGAGGAACTAGGCAGTAGGAGCTAAGTGTTGTGACTATCCCATTCTTTATTTTTAGTGTAATTTAATTGTACTGTTATATTGCTGTCTGACATCTCATTGCAGGTGTTAGAAATGACTCTAATGGAGACTTGCTTCCATATTCGCAGGCATTGCATGTAGTCAAAAGCTACTGAAATCAAAATGAAGTTTTATCTTCTGTCTGAGGCTTTAAACTAGTATCGCCATTCTCACAAATGTATTGGAAATAGCACAAACTTGCATGTCTGCTGGGAACAATTTTATAAATATGTATAAAGGTCTAATTTTTGTGCAGGTTTAGCTGCACTGAAATTGAAGATGTCCTTTTCAGCTTAAATGTTGAATTAACCTGCAGGTATGAGGATCAAAGCCTTTAGTCCTTGTGTTCTCACAACTGCTAACAAAAGCATATATAATGTTATAGAGGAATGTCAGTGGCAGCTGTGCAGATCACACAAAAATTTGGCATTCGTGAGCAAAGAGAAGAGTCTTTGGTCATCTGGCTTCAGGACTTTGAAAGGCAATGG